AGGAGAGGAGAAAAGAAAAGAAAAGAAAAGAAAAGAAAAGAAAAGAAAAGAAAAGAAAAGAAAAGAAAAGAAAAGAAAAGCGAGAGAGAGATCACTATGCCCTTCTGATTTTCTTTTCTATTTTAAAATGAAAAACATGGGGAATTTTTTTTAAATTATTAAATTTAACATCAAATTCTATATATGCATAGATGTTAGGAGAAAGCACTGAAGACTGGAACATGCTAATGCCTGGTGTATTTCTCTAGACATTCAAAATTATAAACTACCTTCTCAGGGTTTTGTGATGTTATCTGCTTTAGGAACTTTGAATGAGGAGGCATATATTTCATCATTAAAAAATTTTCAGATTATACTATGTAACTATTTTATTGACACATTAAAATAAAAATATATTCACATATATTATTAAAAAACACTGGTTTGATATAAGTTATTGAACATTGGTGAGTTGCTTAACTTTTGGATTTTAAACAAATGGCATTTTATTCCAGTATAAACAAATTGCTATTAAAAAGTTAAAAGTAACACTATCATCCCAAATTATGATTTTTTTAAAATGACCTTTTAAAATTTTTGCTTTTTCTGTGGATTAATTTTCTAAAAAATTCTCATGATTGGAAGTACAGTATGAGTATATATCTCTAAGTTGTAAACTACTTGAATAAACAATGCAATTCACAAAGAACTTTAGGGAAAACATTCACTGCTTAAAAATCATCAGATCAAGGTTATTTCCATCACACAAAGGTTCCCCCCCCCCAAAAAAAAAAACAAACATCAAAGTATCTATGAGTAGCTACAATTCCACCTGGAACAATCCTTCTAGTACAGTAAGTGAATTCAGCACAACTCAGTAAGTATACAAACTACACCTGCCTAGCTGAAACCTTGTTTTGCCCCCATGACCTTAGAGTTATCAGACCCTGTGTTCCTCAATTTCTTCAGCTCTAAATGAAGACAACAGAACGTTTCTCATAGGTTATTAAAAGGGTTGAAAAAGTTAATGATCTAAAGTAGAACATAATCTAGCATGTATACTCTGACTGAAAATTAATGATGCTAATAACATGGTCTCAGTTTGGAGAAACCTCAAAATACACCCAAGCCTTTTCCTTAGTATGTGACATTTAACAATAACGAGCTCAGACTAAACATGCCTGTGGATAGGAAAGACTAGGTGGGGTTAAGTGACTGCAGTGAGCATCTTCTCCTACACATCTGTTTCCCACCTTCACTTTTCTAAAACAAGAAAATTAAATAAACTGTCTCAAAAAGAATTGAGACGGGGGCTGGAGAGATGTCTCATCAGTTAAGAACATTTGTTCTTGGAGAGGACCCGAGTTCAATTCCAATCGCCCACATGGTGACTCACAACTGTCTATAACTGTAGTTTATCCAATGCCCTCTGAGGGCACCAGGCACACACATGGTCCACAGACACACACACCCAGGCAATGCATTCATAGACATAAAAATAACTAAATTTTAAAACTAGAACCGAGAAAAATATACGCCTCACATGTGACCTAGGCTAGCATGAGGCGTATATACTTCAGCCTATCTGTGGAGCTCTGAGGAGAGTACCTTATTTGCTCCAAACTGCACTCGGGCCTTGCCTTTCACCAAGGTGGCGTTGATCTGCATGATGACCGATTCTATAGAGTAGGCGCTGCTCCAGCCCTATGGGAAGAAAAAACACAATGGTCTTCACAGTTCCCACTCAGGAAAACCTAAGGAGACATCACAGAGGAAGCCAATGACAGCATGTCAGTGCTAACACATTTGTAGTGAAGAGGAAAGCACAGACGACAGTCCTGGGTTCTAAACATCTAAACCTGGGTGCATTTTAATCTTAAATAAACATTCCTCTCGGTTGTTCCCGCATGGACTGAGCTCAAAGTACAATGACATTTTACCAGTTTATCTTAGATTTTCTTTATAAAAGTAGGTGCTACTACAACAATTTTTTTAAAATATAATCTGCTACATTTAAGAACTTTGCTCTTAGAATCCAGCTAATTTATGGAAATTATACTAACACTGAGAACTGTGCACAGGAGTTACCTGTTTTGTAAGAAGTTCCATACATAACGCTCCTCCACCCAACACGTACCTTTAAAAAAAGAAAGCAAGCATACAAAATCCTCTAAATATCAATATTCCTTAACTTCTAAAGTATTACTAAGAAAGCATGCACACAAAATTAGAACATAGCATACAACAATGAAACTGTTATTAGGGACGTAAGACGGGCCAATTTCAAATGTTTAGTCATTACCTTAATACAGCCAATGTGTCAAACAAACTGAACAGAACACAAACTTTTCTGATGTCAAAAACAAAGACCTTAGCTCTGTGCATATGTTTCCTTAGCTGACGCTGAGGTGTGCTTCTGTCCCTGGAGCTTTCTATGCACCCTGCTGCAAGGCTGCAAACTCTGTGGACAGACAAAGCTCTACCCTAGCCAGAGTCACAGACAGCGGCAGGGTGCTATACAACCTGAGATGGCAGAGCAAGTAAGTGTGCCCCCACCCCAATACACTGAGACTCCACAGTGGAGCCCACATGCCACCTAACATACCTCCATTTCTATACAGACTAAAACTGTCTTCTGATTCTGATATTGAAAGTTGTATTTTAGACATCTTTCAGAAATTTTAAGTCAGCCAGTAGTTTTCCTCTATACTTAGTAATTGGACTATGAAAATCAAGCTATTTTGATTTTGCCTCCATTGGGCTTTCATATTTCACTCCTCTCTCCAATCTTGTTACTTCTCTATCAATTTAGGTTTCTGTCCCTTGCCCCTAAGACAGTAGTAGCATGGATCTCAACTAGTGTCGTATCACCATCATATATTCTTTGTACTGTCACAGAGGATTCATCTCCCTAGAATGCTTTTTCCTTTCTTTTGTGTAGATATGTGGTGTGTGTGTCTGTTATGTATACATGTCGGTTTGAAGGCCAGAGGTAAACATCAGCTGCCCATCTTATTGTTTGAGACACAGTCTTCTCAATGAACCTGGAGCTCACCAATTCAGCTAGACTGGTTAGCCAGCCAGCTTCAAGGATTTCTCTCTGGCCCCACTTACCCAGTGCCAGGATTACAGGCACAAGTCACCATACCTAGATTTTCTGTGGGTTCTGGGGATCTGAGCTCAGGTCCTAGTTTCTCAGCATGCATTTTACCAACTAAGCCATCTCTTCCATTTCTACAACATTTTTTAAATTGTTGTTTCCCTTTTCCTATTCCAGTTAATGACAAATGAATCCAATATTCACGGTTAAATATGCTTACCAGAGGAAGGAGGAAAAAATGACTTGTTACACAATTTACAATGTTATAGCAACACTAAACTATAAAAAGTTTAGTGCTGCTGTACTTGGCTAGGAAAAGGCTGGTGTTCTAAGCAAGAGATACAGAAGTTTAAAATTCACCGTATTTCCACCCTGTTTATTTTGTGTATGTAAATATTTGGCTAGGTTACCTAGTATTCTTCCAAAAATGGCCATATGCTTTATGGTAGAGAGTTACTTCCACTGCCTAACCCAGAAGCATGAGGGGACGTCTAAAGGTAAGAAAATGAATCTTCATAATCTGAACATCTTTGTCCTATGATCTTATCTTGTGATCTCCTCTCATTCTAATAGTGTTTGTGAACAGCAGTGTTAACAGCTTTCCAAAAGCAGCAACAAGATCCCTAAGAGATTACTTCAGCTTTGCTGAGCATCACTTTTGGAATTCTGACAGAGCAACACTTCCCAAACAGCGAACCAGAGGGTGCCATCTTCTGAGATGCCAAAGGGAGGGGAGGAAAAGACTAAAGGAATTTAGAAGAAGTTATTTAGCATCTTTGTGGAAAACAGACTTAGGAATTACTTAGTGTCTCTGCGGAAAATCGCATCAAGTCTCCAAGAAGTCCCTTTGGAAAGAATATCACTTAGTCTGCTGTCCAAAATGCCTATTAATATACCATAGAACTTTCTGGGAGATGTGGTAAAGGATTGGGCTGCAGGCATCAGCCAAGCCAACTTTTTGTTGTTGTTATTTTTGTTGGGTTTTTTTTTTTGTTTGTTTTTTGAGACAAGGTTTCTCTGTGTAGCTTTGCACCTTTCCTGGAACTCACTTTGTAGACCAGGCTGGCCTAGAACTCACAGAGATCCACCTGCCTCTGCCTCCTGAGTGCTGAGATTAAAGGTGTGCGCCACCACTGCCCAGCTAGCCAAGTAAACTTTTAAAGGAGTATTTCCTGATCATGCTGTAGACATCTAAATGGCTCAATACATCATAAACACGGATTTGTTTAAGGCCATGCTTTTTGTTTGTTTATTTGTTTAGCTGAGCTTTACAGACACTGTGGCCAGCGTATTCTGCAGCCCCAACATTAGTTCATATGTATTCTTACTATACTGAGAAATCTTAGCAGGATGTAATCTCAAAAACACAGCCTTTATACTTATATTTGCTTTGCACATCTATTTCTATATTACAGACACTAGTCTAAGAAGTTCTGAAGTCGGTCTTTAGGAGTAACCCACTGCTGTCTCAAACAGAAAGGATCAGTCTGGGGCAATGTTTTTAGATTTTATTATTACAGTAGAAATCATCTCACAAAGTAGAATTAGCTGAGTACTTGAAAATTCTCAAAGGATTTTTTAAAGATTTCCTTTCATTCATGTGTGTGCATGTATGCCTGTAGAAGCCAGAAGAGGGTGTTAAGTCCCTGGGGACTAGAGTGACATGTCGCTGGCAGCTACCTCAGGTGGGTGCTGGAGACTGAAGTCAGGTCCTTCGGAAGAGAAACAGCTGCTCTATAACTGAGCCACCTCTCCTGCTTCCCTACAAATAGTTTATGATTCCTGTGTGGGGACTATGAAACATTTCATAGGTAACTTGATCTTTTCCATGCCTCCTATAGCCTCCTAACTACAAAAAGAAGCAATATAAAATTCAGTCTAGCCGGGCGGTGGTGGCGCACGCCTTTAATCCCAGCACTCGGGAGGCAGAGCCAGGTGGATCTCTGTGAGTTCGAGGCCAGCCTGGACTACCAAGTG